AAATCTGAAATGTTTTCAGCACCAATATGATGGTCAAAGGAAATGCTCCTTGGATTTTTGATATTGATTAGGGATTCTGATATTGGTAGGTAGAATGCAATGTTCTGATATTGATTAGGGATTCTGATAGAATCTGATAGAATGCAGATGTTCCAAAATTGAAAAAAGACCCTGAAATCCAAAACCCTTCTGGCCCCAAGCATTTTGGATAAAGGATACTCAACCCATATTATGGTCTTTGTATTGATCATATTATTGAATCCTCACAACAACGCCAAGGTCCAGTTTGATTATTTCTTACTTATTCTCATTTTATGAATGGGGAAAGTGAGCCTTGCATACAAAGCATTCTTGACTGAAGACGTGATCTGCTGGCCTTGCCCATCCTCCAGTGGCCCTTGGAACCCACAGTGATAGAAGCTCAGATGTTTTCCTTTGCTCTCCTGCTTGCCACGCCTTGTACTCAATCCGGCTGGCGCACTTAGTTGAATCCTCTCTGCTTTTGCCCACTCCATTACAAGAGCCTCCTAAACAGTCTTCCTACTTAGTCATCATTCTTATCTACCTGCCACCTACGAGTTCTGTTTCTAAAACCTGCAAGACAAAACCCAAAGACTTGGAGTGATACTCAGGATTGTAAACAGCATGACTCAGATCCACCTCTGCAGTTCAGTTCCCCACTCTCCCCATTCGGCCCACACATGCCTCCTACCTACCAACATCTTCTCACCATTGTCCAGACACAGTAAGTTTTCCTGTGCATGTCTGGTTTTTACAAGACCCTGCCTGTGGCTAGAGGATACTCTGTTTCCCGCTTCCACACCAAACAAGACCTAGCACAAAAGTGACATCTTCTTTGAAGATGTATTCCATTCAAATCCTTCTAGGTTTAGTTTATAAGCGTCTTCTCCACTTACCATATTGTATTTTAACAGTATGGTGCCTATCTCTCCACGTCACAAGGCAAGTCATAGAGGATTAAGAACAGTGTTTTAGTCCATCCGCACTGACATAACAAAATACCATAGCTTATAAATGACAGAAATCAGTTTTTCACAGTTCTGGAAGTTCAGGCGTCCATGATCAAGGTGACAGAAGATTCAATGTTTGGTAGGGCCCACTTTCTCTTACAGGACACCTTCTCATTGTGTTCTCACCCAGGAACCTTTCTGGGCCCTACTATATAAGGGGACTAATCCCATTCATGAGGGCTTCTCCCCAAAGGCCCCATCTCCTATCACTGTGGGGGTTAGGATTTCAGCATATGAATTTGGGGGGCTCACAAACACTCAATCCATACAAAATGTTGGATTTTGCAGAAAATGTTCATCTTTTCATACCTCTATCAATGTACCTGCTCATGGTGGGAATTAGTAAGTTTAAGGTGAAAGAATAAGTGGACTCGGTTCCCTTATAAACAAGACTGCACACCTGTTTTGTATAGAATAGTAGCTAAAAAGCACCAGGAGTCTGTGGTCCTAGTACCTGGACCCATCTCTCTGGGTATATACCTTCCACCATCCTACGGCATCAGCATACTTGTTTGGATAAAGCTGTTTTTCCTGACTTGTGTGGCTGCAAGGCCTTAAAATGGTATGTTCTCTGATTCTCAGAAGAAGTGGAGGGTCCCTGTCAAGGCTGGCTAAGGCATAGCAGATGACTCATTGGTACCCATAATTTGTGGTTGCACCCAACTCTGGGGGCCAGTTTCTGGAAACATTTAAAGATCCTTCAGTGATGGTATGCCAACTGGGTCTCCTCTTTCTCACACGAGGAGCCCTCTTCATTCAAGTGTCAGTACTTGGACACTGATCATCGTCTATGCACCAAGTACTGTGCGAGGCTCATTTTGCATTTTATTGTCTTTTTGAGGAGCCTTTTGTCCAAGAAGTCACTCAAAACACTCATATAACAGAGAGATAGAACATTCTCCCTTTTCTTTTTTTAACTTGAGAAAATTACACAGTGAGTTTATGTAAGTTTCTGAAGGCCATGTGATGTGGGAATGAATTAGAGGCCAGGTTTACCCAAGTGCTGTGATTCACTCTTAGATTAGATGTGTATGTGATCCTTGCCTTGCCTCTCCGTGCTCTTGACCTTAGAGGTAGTAAGCTTTTTACAGCTCTTTGCCATTTTATTTATTCTCCTTTTGCTTAATGAGAATTAGGGGTTGCCATCCAGAGAAAAAGAAGTTAACAAAAGAAGAAGTAGCTGTCCTTGGGTTCCAGAGCCTGCTGTAGAGATGTGGCTATGCCAGAGCCACTGAGCCCCCTCGGTTTGCTTGAGTTTTCTCATCATGTGTGAAACATATATGTGTTCAGGGAGCCAATGCAGCTCAGAAAATCTTCATTCCATTAGGCCGAATGACCATTATCTCAGCTTTCATAAATGAATTACCTTCAAGGATTGAAGTGAAAATGATACATTTTGTATGATTCTAAAATATTTAGCAGCAGTGTAGAAAACATCTGTAAGGGCTAGGGGGTGTAGCTCACCTCTGTAATCTTAGCACTCTGGGAGGCCTGTTGGGTGGATTGTTTAAGCTCAGGAGTTAAGGCCAGCTTGAGCAAGAGCGAGACCCTCTCCCTACTAAAAATAGAAAAGTTAGCTGAACATCATAATGGGCATCTATAGTAGTCCCAGCTACTTGGGAGGCTGAAGCAGGAGGATCCCTTGAGCCCAGGAGTTTGAGGTTGCTCTAAGCTATGATACCGTGGGACTCTCTACCCAGGGCAACAGAGTGAGAATCTGTCTTAAAAAAAAAAAAAAAAAAAGTCTGGAAGAAAGATAATTTTACATAATGTTTACAAAATTGATCCTGGGCCTGTACGTGTTGTCAGTATTTAGAAATGCGTATTTGTTTTCCTCATCAACACCAGGAGCTCGTTTTCGATGTCTAGCACCTCTTCTTTGTCAGTGTACTTTTGCACATTCCTGGTGCAGTTGGCTTATTCTTGTTTCTTATACAGAATGAGAATTTGGCCACTACTGGACACGGCTATGCTTAGTCCTTGGCATTGATTTTAACAAGAAAGGCCTTTCCTCTGCTGCCATCTGACATTAGTGAGCTCCTGCCCTTGCTCTTCCCCTTTGCATCTTGCTGAATAGCCCCATGCGTCCTCGGCAGTTCTGTCCCCATTATGCCCCCACCTGGAGGGCCTGCTATTCCAGCCATCAGGGAGGCTCGAGGATATATTCTGCCCATCGGATACACTCTCCACCCTCTGTATTGGAGCAATTAACTAAGCCCTCTAAAAGCAGCCTGCTTCTTAATTACCGAAGAGCTATGATATTTGAGGATAACTGTTGGCAATATGGTATAGAAACCAGCTTCTAAAGGCTGTCCAGAAGGTTGCTAATAGAAGGGATGTCAGAACGTTTCTTCAGCTTTCCCTGTTAAGTGACCAAGGATGGCCATTTTCAAACAGGGACCAGGATTTATAAATATTGGATACAAATACATGCCTCAGACTCTTAGAATCAATACCTTAAATGAGGTTTAGCAATCACTTTTCAACTGAATGAGTTCATAAATTTTTCCAAAATGGCTTTTCAATTCACAAACTTTTTTTTGCATCTTTTTT